TCAAGCTAGTTAATATTAAGCATAATTACACATTTAAAAAGTTGTTTTTCGGCTATAGTTTTTATATTTTCTTTAATGGTCTAGGCTACAGTTCAGGATCTAATTAAGTATCGAAGGTGAATGCTCGTGAAAGAACGAAAGTTAGAATTGGCGTCATTGTGGATAATTTATCTTCGAATTCTGTGTTCGCAGAAGCAATGATAAGTTAAATTTACAACGACAGTGAAAAGATAGCTAGGCTTTCTCACTAAGAAATAATGCTGTTCCGCTAGCTAACTTAAAATGTTTCTGTAAAATTTTGATGAATTTAAATTTGTCGACCTTGCGAGCTACTAATATTATGTGGCACCCCAAAAAAGTATGGAGCAACAGCAAATTCTTTGCAATGATGTCGACATATATAAAACTTGTAGAACAGTAGAATAGATACGACTTACTTAAAGGTTTACAAAAATTGAAAACTTTGGACACACAACATTGGGCTGGCTCTCTTCCTAATATCGTGAGCAAGACAAGAAAGTCAATGTCCTCTACTATAACAGTCACATAATCAGAGGCTTGGAATGCAGCAAGCACAGAACGGATGATGACTATATCTGCATTAGATTCTGCCTGGTCAACAATAAAACCCACTTCTGACAGATTAGTTATGAGCACTTCTATTAAGTTTGCTTTGTTCTTTTCAATATAAAAAAAATTACCTTAGAATAATATTAGCACGGTGCTCTTATTAAACTTTATCTTTGTCCACTGCTACTCCATTACTATTACAAATACATAAATCAACATTGTTTCATAAACATATTAGCAGTATAATAAAAAACATGTATATACGTACTTTCAAATCAAGATATAGAATAAAAATTCTTCAATTCTTATTAAAAACCCAAAATTTTTCAGATTTTGTTCTTTCTCTTGTAACGACAAGACTACCAAAGAGAAATGAAGTACTATTGTAAAAATAATACCTCAATCAACCATGGGAGCTTATCGATTATACCTTGCCTAGCTCAGTATCTCAAGGGTGAGTTCGTCTTGTCCTAAAATAGGGATTGAACCTGAGTTCTCAGTTGATAGCAAATAAGACAAATTTGAACCAAACATATTTATTTAAAAGAATAAAAAAACAAAATAATTAACCCTGCTGAAGCTTAACAATTGATGTAATACTTATTGCTTCGTTCGATGGACTACTTGTGTGCTCTAGCTGCTAGGTCCTCCAATGGAATGTTGTAGTTCTAGAGAGCTGCAGTTACATGTGGTCGTACATTCTAAGTCCAATAAAGGCAATACTTTTGAGTGTGGTATAAATCCAATATATCTAATAGGCTGTAAATAAGCCCAATAAAATTGTCACAATTCCCAATATAATGGTGAATTATTCGTAATAAACCCAAGAGAATTTGTAAACCATAAAATGAGTCTAATTATAATTTTTGCCTTCTTTTATAAAGTTCAAAAGCAGGCAAAAAATTATATTCCCACTATGTTAGAAAAGTTTTTTTAACAGAAAGTGGGAGACTAAAATAAAGTTAGCACAGATGTCATAGGATGTTGCTATTTCATAAAACTAGCTTATCTGTCAACACAAAACAGAAAGAGAAAGGGCGAATATTTATTCTACGTGACCGAAAGAGAAAGTAAATAATGACAGAGGAAGAAATGAAAACAGAGGAAGAGAGAGAGGGCGCCAACTACTTTTTAAATAAAAAAAAAAGTAAAAATTAATTTAAAGGTAAAGTAATTAATAAATTAATAAAGAAATTAAAATGAAATAATTATTTAAATATAAATTAATAGAGATGTGACTTTTATAATGTTACACTCTTAATATGCAATTCTGCTTGTTCATTGACGGATTAATATCTCTATGGAAGGTTGTCACTTTATGCGCGGTCGTACATTTTTTTCTAATGTCTTTACTTTCGATCTCTCAACGTATTGCCTGCAATTCTTCTCAGTACTCTCATCTCTGCCATTTCCAGTAGCCTTTGTGTAGTGACTTAGTTTCTGAGGCACATGTCATTATTGGTCCTACACTGGCTTTATAAATTATTGACTGCATCTCAGTGTTAATATGTCTATTTCGCCATATAGTATTATTAAGGCATTCTTCTGCCAGTTTATTTGCTTTTTGTACTTAATCTCTTACTTCTTTGTCCAGGTATCCACAGCTGGACAATGTAATTCCAAGATAATTTATGTACATTACTTGTTTAGTACTGACGCCATTAATTTCTAATTTATATCTGATTGGTGATATATGAAAATATAATAAATATTAACATATTTTAGAAACTGGGCACTCATCTAAACAAAGTACGTTCGTCACTCCAAACGAATTGCAAGGTATTAACAGGTGCCACTCAAGACCAGATAGATCAAGTGAGACAAGGTAATTTCGACCAAGGAGGCGCCATTAAGGTATGTAACTAAAATATTTCTTTAGCTAATAAGCAATAATCTAATATAAGCCAATAACTTGGTCAATTATTTATATTTCAGTCCACTAGAAAACTAAGTTCCTGTAGCTGGCTGTATACCATGTATCACAATTTTTTTTATTTTAAATCCTTTATAAAAAGTATATAACAAAATACACAAACGAGCTATATCACAATTACATTACAAAACGTTTTCGGAATGTAAATTCCGTCATCAGTGTAACGAAGTATACATACTATGAGCCACCAAAATATATGGGTCAAAACCCTTTAAATGTTGTTAATTTATAGTTTTGTTACATTATATGAGTCGTGTAGTTTTAAAACCAGCTACATTCCACTTCAGTCAAAAATCGACTGTGTGGTATCGCGCAATTGAAGTACCTTTCTATATTTGTAGAAAATTATTCCTGTCAAAATAATAGTATTTCATTCTGTTTAATACATTTATTTAAACATACTTATTAACAAAGTATCTAGGAATCAACAATGTCCAAAAACCCCTGTTCTAACAATGATCTTGACAAGTAGTGATAACTGACAACGAGTCTCCCTACATTGTGCCTAGAGCCCCGTGTCCATAGTCATAACCTACTGATATGACATCTTTCCCCTTACATTTATAATCCTTAAAACGCTCTGGAGCCCTTTTGAGTCTAGCGCTAGTTCTATTTTTAGCATTCATTTGGGAGGTTAAAGTTTCCTCTACTCCACAACTCTGATTCCCAGATGAGGAGTTTAATAATCTTTCATTAGGTGCAAAATCAGTATTCGTCTTAATTTCCGCTTTAACTAGGGAAGGCCTTAAGTGATAACTGTTTCGCCGGATGACTTCCCCATTTTCTTTCTGCACTAAATAAGATCTGGGTGCCTCATCCACTTTTTTCAGAAGTTTACCTGGTCTCCACTCTCTACCCTCTTTGACACCTACATTCTCTTCTGGCACTATTTCTCTTCTTACCTTGGTGTTTCTATCATAATAATTTTTATATTCGCTTCTTTTGCGCCTCTAGTTTCTTCCACTCATCCTTTAGATTTATGTCTTTGTGACATATATGTCTCAAGTATGACCTTAGTTTCTTTTAATTCATTAATTTTACAAACTTTTTCAACAAAAACCTTGGGTTAAATGTTACCTGTGCCCCTGTATCTATTTTAAAAGGTATATCAATGTTAATATTTTTAAATTTTCCATCCAGCCTTTATGATTTTTATTCTTAATTTCAATAACAGTGATTGATGAAATCATGAAATTGTCTACTTCATTATTTTCACTTTCTTCCACTTGTACCTCTCTTACTAACCTACCATGATAACACATTTTATCAAAATGCCCGTATTTACCACACTTTCTACACTTTTTTCCATATGCTGGGCACTTCCTAGGTACATGGACACTCCCACAGTTTCTGCAGTTAAATTCACCTCTAGAAGAACTTGCAACCCTGACTGTTTGGACTGAATTATGCCCCTGCTTGACTTTACTTCCAATTGATTCAATTTTTACCTTCTCTAAGCTGTTCTGAATTTCTTTTATTTGAGCCTGGGACACTTCATGCATTTTACATATTTCAATAGCTTTAGTCAGATCTAAATTAATTGTTTTTAACATGCTTTGTTGTGCATCCTTACTATCGGTGCCTAATACTATTCTATCTCTTACCATTGAAAATGCTCAACACCAAACTCACAATTTCTTACTTTATTTTTTAAAACTGTTTAAAAGTGGTCAAAAGGCTCTCCTTCTTCTTGACTGCGCTTATAAAACAAATATCTTTCAGAAACCACGTTTTTTCTAGGAGTGAAATAAGACTCAAATGCTTCCAATACATCTGCTAGCTTTCCTTGCTGGACCTCTGTTAATTCCAAACTGTTATAAATCTCAATGCCTTCTTCTCCAATTAAATTGAGTAAAATTTCGACCTTAACTTCATCACTTTTACCACATTTTCCTGATGCCATCAAATATATTTTAAAACTTAAATCTTTTAAAATTTTCGGCCACATTGCCTTCAAATGATCATGGATTTGGTAACCTTGCTTCCATGATTTTCGTTTAATTTCCACAAGACTGCGCCAAGTAATAATATTTCATTGTGTTTAATACATTTATTTAAACATACTTATTAACAAAGTCTCTAGGAATCAACAATGTCCAAAAACCCCTGTTCTAACAATGATCTTGACAAGTAGTGACAACTGACAACGAGTCTCCCTACATTGTGCCTAGAGCCCCGTGACCGTAATCATAACCTACTGATATGACAGCTTACATCCATTATAAAATATATTCTAAACTTTGCGATTACTTGCAAACCTGACTACATCCAAATTGGATAGATTGCGGTTAGTTGCAAAGGCGATTACATCCAAGCTAAATTATCAATCCCTACTTCTTTCGCTGGTCGCGTATGTGCCGACACGTGTTAATCCGATCGGTTATCTTCTTTTGTTAGTGTAGATTGTACTTTTGTAGAGTTGGTTAGTTTGTTACGTTTCTTATATTTTTCGGAGCGGTGCTACAAGGTGCAACTATTAGGTAAAAATTTAATTGCCATGGAGTGTCATGCGACATGTTCGCCAAGTAAAGCAAAGAAAGCAACCCCGTTTAGAAGAATCATGGAAACTTGCGAAGCTAAAACAACACAGGTAGGTCTAATCATAACAACTCTTTTTTTGCTAAATATTAATTGATTCCTCAAATTCTATACAAATAAAGTGTGGTAAAGTTTGTTAGAATATTAAGGTCTCTATACACTGTGATGTTAATAATGTTCATCGCGCTTATAAAATCGTACAAGTAAGGTCGTTGTGTGTGGTTAAAAAGTGGCAATTTTACTCGACGATTTAACCATACACATTGGTTTTATTCGCACGATTTTACCAGCGCGAGCTGTAAGCAACTAAAATATTAAGCAACTACAATTTTGATTAAATTTTGTATTCCTTATTGATCCGATTTATTTTGGCATATATAATTCGACAGTTAAATTTACCGCATTTTTTATACAGCCTGATTTGTTCGTTTCAGATATGGCTCTGTGAGTCCACCAAAGAGACTTACATGCAGTCATGGAAAAAAGGAAAAAGCTTACCGCTGTAGTGAGATTTCGCTAGCCGATCAAAATTTATTTCATAAAAAATTTTATGCTCATGTAACTGGAAATTCAGTCAAATTGATGTAAGATTCGTTTATATTAAAGTACACGGAAGCGGCGAAGCCGAAACGAAGAAGAATTGTTAACGCTTCTAGGGGAGGTGACTCTTTGGTTGTTAAATATTTTTTATATAACCGTAGTACTAAGGCAAAAATTCATATCTGTCAAAAAGCATTCTTGGATACATTAGGTATATCAAAAAGTCGAGTCAAAGGTGTTGTTTTACGTCATTTTGCTACTGGAGAAATGACCTTGGAAAAAGAGGAGGAAACCGTAAACATAACACATATGCAATAAAAAACAATCGGTGATTGATTTTATAAAAACGTTTTAAGTAATTGAAAACCACTACTGTAGAAGCAAGACAGCAAACAGGCAGTACTTACAATCTTATCCCAATATAAAAAAAATGTGGCGTATATATCAAGCACAAGCTGTGTTTTTAGAATAAATTTTAACATTGGTTTTGGCAGTCCACAAACTGATGAGTGTTCTACCTGTATTGCTTATCAGGAACAGATAAGATACTGTAAAGAGCCTAATGTATTGTTAATGAGTGAGCAAAGAGCTCATAAATTGAAGGCTAAGGCTTTTTACACACTATTAAAGGAATCACGTGAAAACTTACTGACTATATCGTTTGACCATCAAAAGAATCAATTGCTTCCTCGTGTACTAGAACACTATTACTCTAGGCAATTATACAAGTATAACTTAACCATTGTTGTGGGAAATTCTCAGTCTAAACAGACAAAGAAAAATGTATTCATGTACTATTATGATGAGAGCAAATATAAAAAGGGCTCAAACAAAGTCAGCTCCGCAGTGTATCATTGCTTACCTAATCTTCAAATTCCCAACAGTGTAGACGTTTTTCGTATTATGTCCAATGGATGCGGAGGACAAAACAAGAACTTCACTATGATAGGCATGATAAGTTACTGGTTGTGTCATAATGCTCCTACAAGTGTAACACGAGTTGAATTCATTTTTCCAATAGTTGAATACTCATTTCTCCTATCCCACCGTGTATGCGCACGAATAAAAAAGGAAGTAAAGAAAATGAACATAATCATAAGTCCTTAGAAGTACACAGACTTATTTGGTCAATATGGGACTGTTATTTCTTTAAAAGATAAAGTGTTTGACTGGTAGAGTAAATGCTCCGATATTTTGCGGCCACCGGGTCAGTGGCATTTTCAGTTCCAGCCGAGTAAACGATTCTTATTCAAAAAGAACAAAACAAGTGACAACATTCTACTACAAGGAGAGGTGTTTTATCGTACAGATGTAGGCAACTATAAGACAACGTGCAAATCGAAACACAAAGGTAGGTTCATGGCGTATCCAGAGCCCATTCCGACAAGTAGTGTTCAACTTCCGATTTTGAAATTACGTGATGTTTCTGCATTACTTAGCAAGCACTTTGGAGAAGACTGGATGGAATTGCAACTAGAATCATTATTTTATTACAAGAATATTTCAAGTCAGCTTATGGCAGATGACCAAGAAGAAGCGAATAATAGTGGTGAAGTTGCTTCTCTTGTGCTTTAAGGAGAAAAGGTTTAAGAATGACTGAATGTATTTACGTCTTTTTTATGTTTGTGTTAAGTGAATACATTTAAGTTTTTATTTTGTTTTATTTTTATTTAAAATTTATTTTCAAACTACCCTCAAGTTATTTTCAAAATAGGCTACATCCACCAGTTAAGTTCAAAAGTAGCTAAATCCAAATTAAAATATTATATAAATAACCTTTAAAATACTTTCTTACATCATTTACTTGTTAAATAACATTAATTAGGTGTCTGCTACATACCCTGAAAATTGAATTCATTCATATATAATACTTGGTCTATATTATGTTTTCCCGCCATTTCTCAAAACAGTGATTATTGGATGTAGAGCTAGTTTTGAAACTATACGACTTATATATTATTACAAATTAGGATGTTTAAGTTGCTGTTGGATTTGGTAACATGGCGACGTATGACTGACTCTACATAGGTTACATGGTCAACAACTAGTTGTTATCAACAGGTCCTTAAAGACACTTTGTCTTAGGACCATGTAACCTACGTACCCATGTTACCAATTCGAACGGTAGTTTGAACATCCTAATTTGTAATAATATACAGAGTGGCCCAAAAGTCTGGAAACGGCTAATTATCTCGTAAATTACTAGACATAATTATACAAAATTTGAGATACGCCTATTTAGGGATACGGAGATTCCATATTTGGTATTTGCAATGTTGCCAAATTTTCAGTTTCTCTTATATTAATAGTAACTTTGGTTTTTCAAATACATCACCCTGTATATTAAGACATTATTGGAATCTCCTATTAAATACAAGTTCAACCATACGTAACACTTATAATGTTATGTAGTGTCAAAGGTCTTAAATACATAAAACAGAAGTCTGGCAACGCCTTAATTGTTTCAATACATTTTTTAATACTAACTATTTTCAAATACCTTAAAACGTAACAATTGATAGTTTAGAATATTTTTTAACATAATAGTTACGTTAGTAAGTGTTCAAAATGTGCTCCATCTGTGAGTTGACAGCACTCTAATCGATGGTAGAATGCGTCTACCACATTTCTCCATGATTGTCTAGAAATTATTCGAGATTCATCGATAATTCATTACCTTAGCTATGCAAGACTTGCTAGTTAAGTTTTGTAAACTGAATTTTTCAAGTATCTCTAATAAAAATAATCTTTAGGATTGAAATCGGGTGAAAGTGGAGGCCATTCAATTCTACCTTATTTACCAATTTATCGTCCGGGAAATATCTCATCTAAATAACTCCGAACATTTACACCAACTATCTGACGTTAAATTTCTTTCGATAAAAAATGGCCCAATTAAATAGGTATCTACTATTAACTGACCATACATTTAATTTTTGTGGTCTTTGAGTATGGTTTTCACGCATTCAGTGTGAATTTCACACGAGTTCAGGTATTCAATACGAGTTCAACCATATGTTCACTTGATTTTATGTAGTCCGAAAGATCTTAAATACATAAAACAGTGCAAAATATGTAGATTTTAATAAATTTAAATATTTAAATGAAGAATGCTGTGATTTTGACATTTGTTCACCATTTAAATTATGAACTAAAATTGACAGTAGTTGTGGTTCAAAAAGTCCTGCAATTTAAATTGCTTCTCTAAAATGCTATTCTCTAAACCGTTCACCTATTCATAAGACGACGGTACAAAAAACTGTAAGGCGATTTGAGGAATCTGGAGAAGTAAAAGATAGATACCGATCAGGTTGACCGAAACGAGTTATCAATGACAACAAAACTTCAGATATAAGCAAAGTTTTCTTGAAGATCCACATACATCCCCAGTCAGGGTTGCACAAGTACACGATGTAGGTCATTCTTCAGTCTTACGTTAATTACGTAAAAATAAATTTAAATCATACAAAATTATCTTATTGCAAGAATTAAGTAAAGATGACTTTGGTCGTAGATTAGAGTTTACTGAAGTAATGATGGATAAAATTGAAAATTATTAAAATTTCGTTAACATAATATGTTTTTTCGATGAAGCAACTTTTACACTGTGTGGAAGTGTTCGACACAATTGAAGGTACTGGTGTGACGTAAATTCACATTGAAGACTGAATGCGTAAAAACCATACTCAAAGACCACAAAAATTAAATGTATGGTCAGATATAGTAGTTACTTATTTAATTGGGTCATTCTTTGTCGAAAGAAATTTAACGTAAGGTAGTTGGTGTAAATGTTCGGCGATATTTAGATGAGATATTTCCTGGACGATAAATTGGTAGACAAGGTAGAATTGAATGGCCTCCACGTTCACTCGATTTCAATCCTAAAGATTATTTTTATTGGGGATACATGAAAAATTTACTTTACAAAACTTAACCAGCAAGTCTTGCAGAGCTAAGGGAACGAATTATCAATGAATCTCGAATAATTTCTAGACAATCATGGAGAAATGTGGTAGACGCCTTCTACTATCGATTAGGGTGCTGTCAACTCACAAATGGAGCATATTTTGAACACTTAATAACGTAACTACTATGTTAGAAAATGTTCTAAACTATCAATTGTTATGTTTTAATGTATTTGAAAATAGTTAGTATTAAAAAATTTATTGAAACAATTTAGGCGTTGCCAGACTTCGGTTTTATGTATTTATGACCTTCCAGATTACATAAAATCATAAGTGTTACATATGGTTGAACTCGTATTGAATAGGAGATTCCAATAATGACTAAATATACAGGGTGATATATTTGAAAAACCAAAGTTACTAATAATATAAAAAAACGGCAAATCTGGCAACATTGTAAATATCAAATATGGAATCTCCGTATCCCAAAATAAGTGTACCTCAAATTTTGTACAATTATGATTAGCATTTTACGAGATAATTAGCCGTTTCCAGACTTTTGGGCCACTCTGTATAATGTAACAAAACTATAAATTAACAACACTTA